TTTATTGCTCCGTGTTTTAATTCTGGCATCCATTTTGTGTGACATCCCGTCTTCATGCTCCTGCTCCACAGTGTGGATGAGACTCAGGTCGACCTCCTCATTTAACATGTCCCATCATCCGTCTGTGTTTTCAATGTTTTACCATTTCGTTTTTTGGATGGCTCAATCTCTCATTCTATGGCTGTTTTATTTTTTTAATGAAGGGTTATTTTTTTGTTTTGTTTGATTTGTGATTTTCAAGGCGGGGATAGATGAGTGCAGGGCGGCGAGCGTCCTTCATTCCTCCCTCCCTGAGTGGCAGGGATGTTAACCAATCAGCTCCTCACACACACACTGAGCTCCTAGAGTGTAGACTGACATCAAACGTCTCAAGCGCTCAAATGATTATGTTTTGTTTATTCAATCTAGAAAACCACCTAGTCAAGAATCAGTTCTGCACCTCAACCTCCAAATTAAACCAGAAATGGTCATTATCACACGTTGTAGTAAGCATATGAGATACAGTGTGTTAATTAGTGAGCTGTTAAGCAATTATCACACATACACGAGTCCAGTTTCATTGCTTAACGAATTAAACAAGCTGACTTAGACAAACATGAGAATGGTGTGCATATATTTATTTGAATATTGGCATGGCAGTGAAGTGTCAAATAAAATAAAATAACCTTAGACAGCACTGGTAATGTCAAAGTTGATATCAAATGGATTTCATTGGGTGGCAATTCTTCAATTTTGTGAGGGGTTACTCACACTAAATGGATAATTAGATGGCTCCTAAATCAGCCACAAATGTCCCTTTTGGTCAATCGAATCCATAAAAAAAATGTATTATTAATGTTGTTGCTCGCAGTCTGAATACATTTGTAAGTCTACAGTCGAAACAAGGTACATTTAGTTACAAAAACAAACAAGTTTTTATTATTGGAGGCTCGTGTGTGATGACCTGGTAAATGGAGTTGGTGTCTTTTAGGGAAAAGGAGTGGTCACTAATGTCTCTCATAAATAGACGTTTTTTGAATTTCGATGTTGAAGAAATGAAGACCGTAGTGACCACTCGTCCTCTAGGTATTTGGTTGGCTTAAAGGGAGGGGTGGGCGGGGCATGAGTCTATCCCTGAAGTAACACCTGCTCCTTCTGGCTGCCACTCAAACAGAAACCTACTTCCTTTTTAAAAAAACAACTCTTCATCCTCTCCTTTGTCCCGCTGCTCTAACACCCTCCTCTGTGTGTGTGTGTTTGTGTGTGTGTGTGTGTTCTTGTCTTTGTGTGGCTGTGGTGACGTACGTTACAGAAGCAGAAGAACATCGCAGGAGCGCTGGCGTTTTGGATGGCCAACGCCTCGGAGCTGCTCAACTTCATCAAGCAGGACCGAGACCTGAGCCGCATCACGCTGGACGCCCAGGACATCCTCGCACACCTCGTCCAGATGGCCTTCAAGTACGTGTGTGTGTGTCTGGGTGTTTCTCAATGTCGAGGAAGGCTGCTCCAGAGCCACTATTTCAAGCATACTACGTCATCGAGTCCCGCCGAAGGACTGTTCTGATGTCCAGCATACTTGGAAATCTACGGAGCCCGGCGTACTTCGTTTGGAGAAATTTCGAGGCTGCACATGTGTAGACTCCGCGGTCTTAAAATCCCCACAATGCTTTGCGCACGGACCAATTTCCCCAAATCTGTGGCGGAAAATGTAATGCGGGGCCTCTCATATGACGCACACTTGCTCGCCTGTTCCACTCTTCGTTTTCCGAATGCTAGGAAGTATTCTTGGCTCGCTTCTGAAGCAAGTGACTCGGAAGACATGTGCTACCAAGCAAGCGTACTCGAGATTGAGAAACACCCTCTGTGTGTGAGAGTGATGTGTGTGAGGGAGGGAATCTGGAATATCATGGACGTTTTAGAGATATATTCCAGGAAGAAAAAAGGCAGGGAATTGAGAAAGTTCTCTGTAGAAATCAGGGCATATGAGAATATGATAAATATTATGATTTAAAAAAAATAAATAATTCGCTGTATAGTTTTTTTAATTCTGAATGGAAAGAAATTCAAATATACGTGGTTAGTCCTAGGTAACGGTGAGCATGTGAGATAAGAATTGTATAGATGAAACCTATTTTTGCTCAAACCCCCAAGAAATGTGGATATTTTAATTTAGTAATTTAGGTCATCATATGTCTAATCTGGAAACAAACTTATATAGAAATAGCTATGCAAGTAATGGCCTCAATATTGCAATAAAGGCACAGCATTAATGAATCATTTCTATTGTAAAAATAGCAACATTTTCATTATAGTAACCATGGTAATGTTTGATAGATCTGGGTCCAATGTTAAAGTCTTGTAGTCTTTAACGTGCTGTTATGTGTCTGTACAGGTACCTGGTCCACTGTCTCCAGGCGGATCTGAACAACTACATGCCCGCCTTCCTGGACGACCCCGAGGAACAGAATCCACAGAGACCCAAGATCGGTAATACTCACACGCACACACACACACACACACACACACACACACACACACACACACACACACACACACACACACACACACACACACACACACACACACACACACTTCCATCCCTTGAATTCCCTGCATCAGGTTGCTGCCGTCAGTTCGATCTAAGTTAATGTTATTCCTTTGTAAACATTTAGAAATTCTTAAACGGTACATTTTTAGATAAGACCAGAGTCTGATTGTTATGAAAAGTACATTTTGATACTATTCTATGCTATTTCTTGGAGCATCCTAACCCTTATGATGGGAAACAGTATTTAAAAAAGCTTCATTCAGTCAAGGCTACATGCCCACAAACCCTGGACACTGGAGTGAGTTTAAGAAAGTTCAGAATACACCAGAGAGCGAGAAATGTGTTTTTACCTCGGCTATCTGTACCCCCATAATGTTGTGCATGTATCTGATCTCACTCTCTCTCTCTCTCTCTCTCTCTCTCTCTCTCTCTCTCTCTCTCTCTCTCTCTCTCTCTCTCTCTCTCTCTCTCTCTAGAGGACGTACTTCACACGTTGACGGGGGCGATGTCGTTGCTTCGGCGATGTCGAGTGAACGCCGCTCTCACCATCCAGCTGTTCTCTCAGCTCTTCCACTTCATCAACATGTGGCTCTTCAACAAGCTGGTGACGGACACAGACTCGGGGCTGTGCTGCCACTACTGGGGGGCGATCCTCCGGCAGCAGCTCAGCCACATCGAGGCCTGGGCCGAGAAACAGGGCCTGGAGCTCGCTGCGGACTGCCACCTCAGCAGAATCGTACAGGTAGGAGGACCGAGGGGACTGGGGAGTAAAGAGAGGGATAGGGAAGGTCATATATTTCCATTTACTTGTATACAGAGATGGTAAAAGTACACACATCCTTTACTCAAGTAGAAGTACAGATACTCGTGTTTAAAAATACTCTGGTGAAAGTACTGACTAAACTTCTTGCCTCAAGTCAAAGTAAAGAGGCTTTGAAATGTACTTAAGTAAAAAGTACCCATAACTACCAGCTGTTTTAAAGAGTACCTGACCTCCCTTTATATTAATAGAACAATAATGTCATTGTTAGCTAATGAATGTTTCCATGCTGAACAACGGCAACATGACAACGTTTTCATTGGTCCCTCTTCTTTAGAGAAGACCAGGAAATGATGGATACACGGATCGTGTTCAAATCAATAGGCACGCAATGACTCTAAATAATAATGATCACGCCACCAAACACACATTCAGACTAAAGGAACCAGCCTGTTTGGAAAATGTGAGAAGTAGAAAGTACAGGTATTTGTGTTCAACATGTAAGAAGTAGAAAGTACAGGTATTTGAGTTCAAAATGTAAGAAGTAGAAAGTACAGGTATTTGGGTTCAACATGTAAGAAGTAGAAAGTACAGGTATTTGAGTTCAACAT